GTCAGGTTGATTTCAATATTGTAACTTTTTTAGTGCTTGTGAAAAAAATTGTTATATAAATTTTATGTACCCCCTTCAAGGGACTCTATCTTAACAACAGATGCTCCAATGAAATTTCTCCCCTAACTATATTATTAAAGGCGAACTGTTGGAAGGTAGGTTGCACTATATCGTTTACTTGAACTATAACTGCTCCTAAAAAGCATATTACTTCTTGAATTAATCGGTGTATAATCAACATATGATTCTAAAATTATTGTGATGGCTTTCAAACCACTAATTCGAAAATGATATTTAGATTGGAATAATGGAGTACAACTCATTAAATGTAGCTGTGTTTGAATGAAATTCAATTGAAAAGACTACCCAACTTTGGTAAGCATCCAGAAACCTAATGTTCAGGTATCCAACTCAGCAATGTCATTCATGTTCCTGTATTATATAACTGTCGCTTATCCACTAGTCCATGAAACTGTGGCAACAAAATATTACACGTGTATCATCAATTTGTGCATGAAAACGAAACAACATGACTTCTAAAATGATTATAACGTATTAAAAAACATCCATTGTGGTACCATCCATTTGTTTATAACAAAGCTCGCACAAGTTACTGAGGGTTGTCGTTCGTAGGGGTACGACAGCTGGTTAACGGAAAACAGATGTTAAACAGATTTTTTTTAAACACTATTTTACTGGAAATACAACGATAAAAAAACATGAGAGAAATAGGACAGTTTAATCTGCTGGGAACATTTTGCCAATTGATGAATTTTATGGTTGTTTGAAGGAAGAATAGGTCTGTAATGAGTTGAAGGTGAGAATTATTTGGTACTGGCGTAGGAATCTTCACAAAATCTCTTGTGTTCACCAGTAACAAAATAGATTGACAGTCTTCAATCGTACTGCTAAGAATGTCATCATCAATTATGAAGTATTTTCATCAAATTTCTATAGTATTTCTAAAGGAAACTCGGTGAACAATCTGTTTTTTGTTATTATGACCTTTTGAGAATGAAGGCTTTTATAATAATTTGATCAAACTATTTCTTCCAATACTGGGTGAATCAGAACTCGACTTTTTTTCACATATCATCTCATATTTCATTGATTGTCATTTGAGAACTATTTCCGAAAATGAATGGTTGGATCATACAGTAGGTACTATAAATTCCAAATAGATCTAATTGACGATGTGAGCTCTTTCGGTATTATTCTTCCACGAAGTTATTCAGTAAAGAAGTATTTCATGAAATTATCATTTCAGTGTCAATCAGTGAATTTCTACATTGGAAAAAATATCCCTTTAATCAGGCAAACTCTTCTAGTGACTTTTCATAGAAAATGGAAAAGGTTGAAAAGATTAGTTTTTGGATATCATGTTTCGAAATAAGCACCTGGTATACACTCGTATAATTCTATATATTATGCCAGTACTTTCCTGAATATACTGAATTCGTATAAATTTCTTGAGGTTCATTGGCGGTAGATTCGGATACATTTCATTGAACTTTCTACATGTTCTGCTGATAATTTTGTCACACTGTCCAAAAATAATAAACAAATTCATAAGAACTTCGTTTGAATAGTTTTGTTCCATCGTTTTGAAGGTATTNTGTGAAGATTCCTGCACTGACGCCTGTCTGATATAATCCAACGCCCTTCGTGGTATTAGCCAGGGGAGTAGTTGTTTTCTGATAGGCGTCAGTCCATTAAACCTACTGTGTAGGTAGGTATATAGAGACTGGCTTGAACGTTTGAAGTTCCATTTGCTTTAGATTTGTTTATTGCCAGTCTTCAAGCATAGCCCATTGACTAATAAGAAACAAAAAAAAATTGTATCAAGATTTACTGAACTATTGGGGTATGCAGCATGCAAAAAAATACTTTTAGAACATTGGTTCCAATATTTCAAAACTTTCTATTGTCATCATCAGAGAAACTACAAGAGTAAGAATATGTACATTTACATATTGCTTAAGTTTTGATAAAACTACTTACATTGTCCACGAGGTTGTACGCAAATGGTGGAAAAATCATCAAATATATATACAACAAAACATTTTGGTAAAGTTGACAATACAATTTTTTCAACAGATTAAAATAAAATTACTATAAAGCACTATTGAAACTTTCAGTCAATATTTAAAATAAGTTATTGATTCTGAAATTTGATACAACGCAGTCTGTTACTGTCTCGTATTAACGAGAATATTCGAATATTGTAGTTGATAGACGCATGTTTATTATGTACATCAAAGTCAAAATTTTAACAGTGGTGCTAATCGAATCAGTTGATTTATGATGTACTGTATAGAACCTTTGGTGTAGTAATAAATATTGCATATCCGAAATTTGCCCGATTGCTCTGAATAAGAAAGAAAAACATTCTTATTAGTCAGTGGGCTATGCTTGAAGACTGGCAGTAAACAAATCTAAAGGAATGAACTTCAAACATTCAACTGCAGAAAGAGTTCATGACCAGCTGGAATTATATCTGTTTGATCGTGATACTCAGATGGAGACCATGCCAGGTACTGATGATGGAACAAGTACCCCGAAATCGATCTTTCGGTTGGTCGTCTCAACCAAACGAAATTAATTTCTGCTTTTCATAATGGGAAACAACTTGCGACCCATCTTCCAAATCGAAGACGTTGTACAGGTGCCTGATAGTTTTACTTCAACTCTCTGCACGGCAGTAGCTGGATTTGTTGTTGTATTTCTGTTGGGTACGTGCAACGTCGTTGGTCTACATGAGAGGCAAGGGGTAAGGTGTTTTCACCTGTACCTGGAACATATATATGTACTATTCTGATCATTCCTATAATAATTTCAATTTAAGAGTCACCGGTAGACAGCTGATAACCAAGAAAAGTACTTAATAAAAATAACTGCGTGAACGCAAGCGAGACATGAGTGGAACCACTGACATAAAAACTTGGCAAGTTGAATACCTAGTTTTTCAAAAAAACTAGTGCTATTTTGCAATACATCACTAACTATTTCATAGACAAAACATTTTTCATTCATCTTTTACAGGTGCGAACCAAGCAACAATCAAACCCAACGAAGACATTGGTGAAGCTCTTGTCAATTTCAACGATTATACCGCTAGAAAACTCTTCAAAATAGAAAAAGATACCACCCAACTTCTGACTGGTGAATTTTTTGAGGGTGGTAAAGCAGGCAAGGCGGTTCCAGCCACTGTTTGCACTTCTAAATCCGTAGGAATAAGCGTCGACATCAATACGTATGAACCACACTTGTTGGCTGGAACCATGGCTCATATGATCGGTATGTTAATATGAATTCATTTTGAAGATAATATATGTGGAATACATAATTGTTGAAAATAAAACGTTTAATGCCTTTCCAACGCAACAGTAATGCAAAAAATGTAAGACATTGCGAATACCAAATAATGCGAATAATATAATCGAAAGCTAGTATTAAAATAAAATAATTCTTCAACTGTACCACAGGTCACAATATTGGAATGGGTCACGACGATGGAAGGCAGGAATGTTCCTGCAGGGATTGGCATGGATGCATTATGGCTCAAGCAATAGTAGGACTCAACAACGTACAGCCTTACAAATTTTCTGAGTGCAGTAAATCAGACTACATCGATAGGTTGAGGACGGGTAACGGAATTTGCCTTCTCAACAAACCAAATGAGCTCACGGTAAGTAAAGAATGTCTGAACTTTGAATCGAAATACGGGACATGGTTTATAACCTTTTTGAAAGTTATTTGAATGATTTCATTCAGTATGTGGAAGTTATTGAAATCAACAATGAATCTCAAAAAATATATCTCATTGTGCTGCAGGGAACAGCCTTGGCCAGTATCATTTTTCACATATACTCACTATAGACTCAGCAAAAACAATTTTGCTGATGAAACCGCCATCTATTTCGGAGTAGAATCATGGGTATACCTAAAATAAAAAGTTCAAAATGATTTTAAGAAAAATTTCTGTTGATTGAATCAAAATTTTCAACATCCAACTAACTAGAAGAAAAGCACTTACCTCTTTCAAAAATATATTAGTTTGCTTCTCATCTCTGAAAACTCATAAAAAGTTCAAAATGATTTTAAGAAAAATTTCTGTTGATTGAATCAAAATTTTCAACATCCAACTAACTAGAAGAAAAGCACTTACCTCTTTCAGAAATATATTAGTTTGCTTCTCATCTCTGAAAACTCCAAATGAATAACATGGAATTGAATTCTTCCAAACCAGTGAAATACCACCTACCTTCCAAAAAGGATTTGACCTAAGCTTTATGTTCAAAAGTTGATGTGGCCTGTACAGTTTTCTGGTACGGAACAGTGTTCCAAGCTTTTGAGAAGCAGTTTTTGCAATTCCAGCGACATGATTGTGCTAAGAGATATTGATATCTATTTTAACCCATAACAAACTCATCGAAGCAGAAAGCGGAATTGTGTGTCCTGGCATTATTTTATCCGGTTCGGAGACATTTATCTTTTTGGAGAAAACCGATGCCTAGGTTTTGTTGGCACTGAATTGAACCTGATTAATTTCACCCCATTTCGAAATCACCTTTAGATCCTCATTAAGATATGAAACCTCTTGCTGCCGGTGAAGATGTGCATTTGCACCCGATGTCCTGAAATCCAAATGGAATTATGACAAGTATGCTATCGTCAGCAAAGCAATATATAGGATTTTTTTTCAATTAGCCATTGATATACAATATAAAGAGGGTTGGAGACAATATGGATCCCTGCGGAACACCAGCGTTGATGGTAAAAGTATTCGAGAGATATCCATCGACGAAAAAATCCCTTCCTTGTAAGATAGATTGAAAAGTCTGCAAAATACTGGTACGAGTTCATTGACGCACTTTTTAAGTACGATGACGAGCCCTTTATTAGGACTTTATTAGGCCTTGTTGACATTGATCTGTTTCAAAATTCGACTAACTAGTCGCTGTTGAAAAGTCATTTCCGTCATTGTGAATTTCTAGTGTGGAAAAAGTGAGTGATGCCTTTCCTGGAAAATCGTGAAGTAGGATGCAAATTGTTCAGCTAGTACATTTGCTTTATCTATGGCTGTTGTTGTTATTGAACAATCAGCTTGTGTTTTGACTAACAGCTTCAGCTACCGACCAGAAGAATCTAGACCCGTTGGGATTGACAAGCAGTTTATCCCTAATTCTTTGATTGCGAAGTTATTCTAATTTTGCAGCTGTTGCGAGCATTAACAACATTGACAACTAGATTGGAATATACATCATGCAACAACATTCATATCATGGAAGATCACAATCTAGAGTTGACTAAAAAATTGAATGATCCGCATCATTTTCTGTTTTATTTCAATCAATATCATTTTGGCCAATCTGTTTTGGCTAAAACACTTGTTCTTCAAATAAAAAATCGATTGAAGTATATCTCATATATCTACAATTGTTCTTAAATGCTTCAATTCCATCAAATAGGTATATCCAAAAAAAGTTTTCTTCTTTTTCAGTTTTCTTGTTGAGTTGGATTTGAACGTAAGACTGTTATTAATGACTAAAAATAGTTGACTACGTACCAGGTGAAATATAATATGCTGGACTCTAATCCAGTAGCGTTGGCTTTTCAAAGAGTTACCAAATGCGCTTTGGTCTTTGAACTTTTTTTCTAAATGTAACGTAATTTCAGTCATTAAGTTCAAATTTGGTAAAGTTATTGAAAATCATTTTTATTATGTGTAATCATATACTTGATTTTTTTTTTGCTGTTATTGGTGACGAATAAATTATCATTATTATTATTGAGAAATCTGGACCAGCAGTAAATTGACACTATTCTCTCTTCTATTCAGGATCACAGGACTTGCGGCAACAGCATAGTCGAAGATGGCGAGGAATGTGATTGTGGAAGCATCGAAAACTGTCACAAAAATAACCCATGCTGCGATCCAATAACTTGCAAGCTGACTAAAGAATCGCAGTGTGCTTCGGGTGCGTGTTGTGAAGATTGTCAACTGAAAGACATGGGTGTAATTTGTCGAGAAGCGACCAATGAGTGCGATCTGCCAGAACAGTGTACAGGAGTTTCTGGAGAATGTCCTGTGGATATTTTCAAGAAGAACGGTACTCCCTGTGAGAAAGAGAGTGGGTACTGTTTCGATGGAGTTTGTCCTACATTGACGTTGCAGTGCGAACGTATTTGGGGATACGGTTAGTCCTATTGCAACAATTCTACTCCATTAGGGAAAACCGAGATTTATTTTATGATCCGATTCAGATTTTTTAGTGAATATTATCAAGTGATTCAAAGTGAGATTGATACATGATTTTTGTTGATTTCCTGTGTGATTATTCATTATTGCTTCTAGCATATACAGGGCCGGATTTGGAAGTCTGGAGGCCCTAAATTTTTTTGCTTTAAAAAATAGTTGTGGGCCCCATGAAAATGTTTTTTAGTTTTTTACAAAAGTTGAAATTTCAACTTCCCACTGAAAAAAAGGGATACAGGCGAAAATCGACGCGTTTAATGGATAGTGTCTTTTAAAAATTTCCATTTAAGTGATTTCGTCAATTAATTCCAAAAATTTTGAGCTCGAAGAAGTGAGAAGTTTTGAGGATGACCTGCAGGGTCAACTGTTTTTCAGGGTTTTTTTACTTATTTCATTAATTTCTTTCCAACTCATGGGTACAAATTATTTATTGCATATTAAATAAAGTATTGCCACTGAAATGCTCGATCAAATGCCAGTATTGCCACTGAAATGCTCGATCAAATCAAATACTGATAGTAAATGGAAACTTACACAACAATAGTATTATGTTTGTTCAAGTATTCTTAGTAAAAATGCAAAAAAAATGTTTAGGAGAAAAAAAGTAAAAATTGCTGATATTTTTTTCATTTCTATTGTGGGGGCCCCTCTCCTGTGGAGATCCCGGGGCAGTAGCCCTGCCTGCCCTTCCCTAAATCCGGCTCTGAGAATATGTCGTTTCATTGACCTATGTTCAAAGTTTTTTTATATGCTGGTACTAACACAAGCACCAATTAAAAAATCTCTCCGGATGGTTGATCAATTCATGAATTCCAAGATCAAACTTTTTTACTCAATAATTTTTGACGTATTTAACAAAAAGTGATTCTTTATGAAGTTATCTTTGAGAAACTCATTCGAATTATCCACTGTAATGAGAATAATTTCAACAGTTCTGGTATTAGGTTCAAGTACTTATTGTCAAATCTTGACTCTTTTGACATAATTCGTTTTTTGACATTAGATATTTGCTGATAAAAACAATGAATGTGTTGCCTTGGGGTGACTGTCAAATAGGCAACTAGCATTGATTTGTCTATTACACCACCATATCTGAAAAATTCTCACCACATACTAAGAGCTTTATATCATACGCAAAAATAATTATATGCTGTTTTATTTGGTATTATTCATATCGTTTATACATAAAATATGAATAGTAAAAGCCCGAGAATTACCCCTTGGGGAATTCAGATTTATGGTAGTGTTTTTCTTTCTTCGTGTAGGTACAGTTTCAGGCGGCAAAAATTTCATACTACTGTTTTTTCCATTAGTTGAGTTGTATTTGTGAATTGTATCATTATCGAGAATGTTGATTCGCCTTCTTAACACGCTTTTATCAGCTTCACTTGTAATCGACAAACTCCATCACATATAATAAGACGTTTTTTTTCATGACACCCATTCCATCAGTCTCGTTCCCTGTACTAGTTTGTACAGGTTCCCTGTTGGATGTTCGTCATATTCTTCTGGGCGTAATTTTGTACGTCCATATATTGTCTGCCTCCTGTGATTCAGTGCCTCACATTCGTATAAGATGTTTAGAGCTGTTTCTATCCCTTCGTTGCAACTGAGGTCTCCGTTGTACAGCCCCATTTTATTCAGGTGTCCTCTAAGCGGACAATGACCGGTTAGTAACCCTGTAATTATTCTGAGCCGATCCCTACTATATTGAAGTAGTTCTTCGGTTCTTTTCTCGGACGGTTCCCTAATGAAGGTTCTACTGTGTTTGTTGCCAGGTACTTTTGTCCAGTACTCTGTGTGCTTAATAAGACGCTTACTCTTTTCTTCATCTATGTGTCAATGATAAAATTGATTCAATGATGGAAGGCTGTCAAGTTCCACCACATAATTTTTCAATGCGATAATGAATAAAATTTTGAAATAATTTTTTCGCAGGAGGTATAGCAGCAGACACTCAATGTTTCGAACAATTCAATTCGAAGGGATCGATAAATGGACATTGCGGCAGTGACACTACTGGACGTTTTCTGAAATGCTCGCCTGAAAATGTAAGATGTGGGTCCCTCCAGTGCCAACATGGAAACCGATATCCTGTCGTCGCTGGCTTGGATCAGTCTCAAGATCATTCGAGAACGATAATTTCGATCAAAGGGCGCGAATATGAGTGCAAGTAAGTAATCGTTTATGCATGGTTACCAGTCGCCCAAAGCGATGCACTGCAATCAGTCAATAGGAAAGTCCATCGTCCAGATACGACGTCTATTGGGTTCTTGTGCTTTACACTATCGAAGGTGACTCATTTTACCCATTAATCATTTTCTTTTAATAGTAGCACCAAAAAAACATTCAAAAATTCACAATTGAACAACCAAAATCACAGCAAACTCCAAAACAATCAACATAATGTTTCGCATTAAACTATTCCGATTAGCTGTTTATCGTTTGAGAAGTGACATATTTGGTAGAAGTTTTTCCCTATTATACAAAATTCAAAAATATATTTTGTCTAGCTTTCAGCAACCGTCTTGTTACTTGTAACGGACAATGGATATTAATGCAATTCTTTGAACGATGACCTCCATTACCACATGACAGTGAATTACTGCACAATAAAGGTTCAAAAATAGTTTCAAATAAACCTCATGAATGATAATTTCTCAGCCCTTCAGTAGAAAGTATCGATGTGGGAAGCATAAGTGAATTTATCATATTGTTACGTTTTTCCCCGTGGATTCAACAATATAATTGACTACACTGTAGAATAATCAAACGTAACTTTATTTCACAACAAAATAATTTAACTAAAACTTCAACTAATATTCAAATGTCTGTCGCCTCATTTGATCGCATTGCACCGCACTGATCGCGAAACTTGACTATGTCGACATGCTCCTGATTAGCGTTTATATGCGACAAACCAAAGGAGAATTCCTCAGAAATCCATCGAAGCCGATAGAATATTATTCGGAATTCCATCGAACTGGTGGGAACATCGAACAGCCGCGCAGTCTAGGCAACGTCACAATTATTTTATGGCTACCAGCGGTGGCCGGCATTATTTTCTTTAGGGCATAATTTACAACAATATTGATAGTGATATACCCAACAGCTATTTTTAAAGAAAATGAAACTCTAAACTCATTATTCTAGCACACGTAGAAACTTTCAGGATTATTATCACTAAATGCCATTGTGCCATTTTAGTTACATTCAGTGATGATTATTTCTGGTCCATGTTATGACCTGTTTGTATACTTAATTCATCTCTTTGTTTTACAAGACTTGACAAAACTGACAAGGAAATGTATGTCATCTGCATAAATGACTACACGAATAGCCGAGAGATTATGCATAAGGTCATGAGGTCAAGGACATAAATGAGGAATGATGAACGCCCTTCAGAATTGAACCTTGAGGAACACCATGCCTATTGAAAATTATCATATTATTTATTGAACACAAGAAAAATAAATGTTATTTACAGGACCCGAACTGTAACAGGTAATTCAAACACAAAACATATAATACAACTTGTTTTGAAGAGTGCAGACGGTAGTCAACCAAATATTTAATGAATTCCTTCACCTGATTTTCAGAAACGTGTTGCTCAACAGTAGATGATAGTTCGTTATGAGCAACAGCACACTAGTTCATACATAGAAAAGTACATTCTCCAAATATAAATGAATATAAATATGAATTCATTGTGAGAATGAAAACAAAACAGAATGTTACAGATGAAAAATTAATTTCAATGTTGTTTTCAATCCCTCGAAAATAGGAATAAATCAGAGTCACTGACGCATTTATCATTTCAGTTTCTCATGGGATTAGTGCTTTATTCAGGAAATGAATATAAAATGAGTTTATGTACTTTATGTTTATTCGGGCCTTGTTTTGTAAAGCAGCTGTGGGTAGAGTCTACATGGATTATTATATATTGAACAGCACTCAATAGTTCAAATGGTGTTGAGCGTCAAGAAGTGTGATTGTACTGATCATTGTAAGCACTCTGTTATTCTTTGTTCGACTCATTTCCTCAACTGGAGATATATTTATCAAAATAATTCTACTTTATATACAGCGTGACTCACGGTTGATGGTAGGTTAGACGTTTATGATAAACGCAAGGCAGGATTCTTCTGAAAATTTCACATCTCACATTCTCTTACCTGTTCTATCGATCTGAAATATTCTCTGCAATGCGGCGTTGCCACTTCTATCAAAAACTCCTAGCAACATTATTTTTTTAAATAGAACACTCCGTAGATAAACACATTTTTGGAAGCGCTCTCAAATTATAATATTTTCTTTTAATTTGTGCTAAATATGGTCCAAAACATAGCCCTAATTGAACTCGAGTACATCAGTCCTCTCAATTCATGAAAAGCTAATATTTTGATGATAGTTTGAATAATCTCGAAATATTCAATTAACAACAAAAAATTGACTCCATATCATACAGGGCGTGCTTAAATTACTATTATTTCCATTATACATGAAAGTGGTCAAAAGTTCATTTCTCAAATGAAACACCCTGTTGTTTATTACTCGATAAATTTAAAGATTATGCAAAATGCTCAGAAGTGATATATCATGTCCCTATACCTAAATCACGAAGTTTTCTATATGAAGTCACTTCTTCGGGAAACATTTTTTTTTTAATTTGGTTTTAGGTAGCAGTGGTGAATTTGCAATTCACAAATAGTTATCGACTGTGATTCAAAACATCATCCAAAATGAATGCAAATATCGATTATTCAAACGAAGTTCTTATGAAATTATTTATTACACATCTGTCTGTCTGTTTTTCCGTTAACCAGCTGTCGCACCCGTACGAATGACAACCTTCAGAAGTCAAAATTGTTTTTAAAAATCTGTTTTAAAATGTGCGAGCTAAGGATTAATGAGGTCTTAACTTTAAACGTGTGATTCCTAACATAAACAAAGTGATCAAGTCATTGTCAGAACATGCAGAAAATTCAACCAAATGTATCCTGAATGAACAACAATGAACGAGAGGAAGTTTGTAAGGTTAGGTTATTATTAACTTCGCAGTTCTTCTTCGGTAGGCACTGAAGTGCTGTACTCCTTTTCTTCGAAAACACTCCATGAAAAAGTCAAGTGGCGTGAGATCGGGTGATCTCAGTGGCCAATCCCGCGGCCCTAAACGCCTAAACCAACGATCATCAAACTGTTCGTGAAGTTTTCTGGAAAATTCCGAATTGAAATGAGCTGGCGCTCTATCCAGTTGAAACCACATATTTCTATATTTCTCTAAAAGCAAATTTTTTAGGAAATGGTAACAGTTGTTCCTAATATTTGAAGATATCTCTCCGCATTTAGTAAGTCTTGATAAATAAAAAAGTTAATTTTATTGTTATTCGAAGTACAGAAAACATTCAAGTGAAATTTTTCTTTAATTGGATAGAACTGGCCGATACTTGATGAAAATCCATATTGAAACTAAATAATACAGTTTATTGTATGATTTTCACTATAAAGGGTTTCACAACAACCGCGACACGTGTTTCGCTATACAATAGCTTCCTCAAGCGTAAGCTACTAGTTTACGATTGAGAAAGCTATTGTGTAGCGAAACACGAGTCGCGGTTTTTGTAAAATCCTTTATAGTAAAAATCATACAATAAAATGTAACTCAAGCGTAAATTTACGCTTGAAACTAGTAGTTACTAGTTTCTTTTGTCATATGAGGATTATGATCAGCCCAAAAATGTTCATTTCTATTTTTGACAAAAATTACCGATCTTTCTATATATGTATTAAAAGGAATTCGCAAAAACGCACTCTACGTTCAAAGTGTTCTAGTTTGAAAGCTTGAACTTGGTTAATTTATACAGATGCATTTCAAGATTTTTCAAAATCCGTTTTACTAAAGTGCGTGTGATACCTCCAAAAAAATGTTCTGCACTGCGAATGGAAGCTTTCGGATATACAAAAAATATGCCAAAACGTTAATAGTATTGGCCTTAACAGGTTTTGGTAATATTGAAGGCGGTTTCAACTTTCAGCCACAGTTAAGTAAATTATTTTGTAATCTTACAAACTTCCTCCCGTTAATTCAGAATACATTCGGTTGAATTTTCTGCAAGTTCTGGCAATGATTTGGTCACACTGTCCGTGTTCAAACTCCGTTTGAATAATCAATATCTGCATTCATTTTAGAACATGTTTTGAAACACCGTCGATAAGTATTTGTAAATAACTTATGAAAGTAACCATGTTGTCATGAGCTTGATAATTCCTGCTACCACCAAGTGAGCATCATCAAGAGGAAAATTAAACTGAATATACATACAATGTTGTCCTTATTTACACCATAGATACTTCTGCTAGGTATCTGCATCTTACACTGTTGCCTTGTCTATAAATATAAAAAAAAAATATTATTTCAACAAGGTTTATAGTATACTATTAGGTATTGGTCCACCATCGGTGTTCAATGACGACGGTGGACCATTACCTAATAGTATATTATATAGCTTGTTGAAATAATATTCTATTCACCAGATTCACCTGACAACTAATCAAGGCAACATTGTAAAATTAATTTAAAATTAGTAAATAAGGTTTGGGGTTGAGATAAAACTCCAGTAATATTCATATACCTGATAATCTGACACTCCATCCGAGTACTTTAAAAATTCAGTAGAGAAGCCCAAGGTACATAAATAATAGATCTATTCACAGGACAACAACGGGACAGAAAACTGGAAAAGACGAAGAGGATCTACCACTTTTGGGACTCGTACGAGATGGCACGCCTTGCGGAGAAAACCTCATTTGCCTTAATCAAACTTGTACCAGCATATTTCCTCATGTTAAGCAAGAAAAATGTCCTTCAAATCATGCTAGCATGGAGTGTTCTGGACACGGGGTAAGAATGATGAAATTCACATATTTTTATTTGTATCTCCAATTAACAAGCTAACAATGAAGATAGTTTCTTTTTTATAAAATTTTCCTGGTAAAGTGCACAAATCAGTAATAACAACATGACAATACAATTTGTTTCCGGTAGAATGATGCGAAATGAGCAGTCTTTTTGAAATATCTATCCATTTTTGGCAGGCTAGTGTCACCCAAAATAGATTCAGCTTTCTAATTTATTATTCCTCAAAAATCCCAGAAAACTGTGAAATAACCATGATTCTTTCAAACCTTTCAAAGGGAAACCAAATTTGAACCAATAAGTGTAGATTAGAAGCAGCAGTTGCTTAGACTTCGAAATCAATGTATACACCACTGAAGATGTATGCTGCAGTTGCAGACGAAACCTTTGGTAGAACATTATACAACTATGTACTCCCTACCATTCCGGATTTTGTTCTGTTCAATTGTGACTTTTCTGCCTGAGTTTTCGTCTACAACTGTCATAAATATAATCAAAGACTATGGCGCAACAGTTGAAGTGCCCTAGTTATCCTCCCGGCATTCCATACACCTAGTTCGTACTTCATGCGTTGCTTCATCGCCTTCGATAATGGCTACTGCAGTAGACAAAATGTCAGGTATAAAAACCTCCAGATCACGGCAAACAAACCCAGAAAATCAGTGGGATACAAATTTTCATTTATACCATGTTGTGTGTATGGGAACGGTAGATGACAATACATTAAGCGAACTTCACGATACTGTAAGATACCGCAAAATAAGTTTTAATTTTGAGTTTTCGTCTAGTGAACCGAAATGTTCTTCTCTCAACATTATATTGGAAAACTTGAGAAAATAAACGATTCATCATGGTTTCTAATTAGAAATGCTGTAGAAAAATTAAAGAAAAAAGATAATTATTCACAAAAAAATAAGTCAATGTGTTTTTTTTTAATATTGTAGTAAATGAAAAATTGTAAATTCCACGATGATTTTTAATACATCGTTCGGACAATGATTTCTTTCTCAAAAATCATGTTTCAAAAACAAGCGGAATAACAATAAAAAGAGATTCAAAAATATGTATATCTTTGTTGCAGAAAAGTTCTGGCTTTCTTTCTACTTGTCCTACTTGTCCTTATACAAAAAAATATGGGTATCTTCCAAACAAAAAGAGGAAAGCAATGAATTTCGATTAAAATAATGCGTAGTTTATGCAAGGAAGTAATTTTCAGACACAGGATTGCTACACATTATAGTAAATGAAAGAAGTGGAATTTTACTTACATGGAACATTGTCTTCTTCACTTGTAGACATCCGATGTTTTACCTTATCGACTCTTCAGCACCAAATCTGAATAACATTATAAGAAAAAACACTCAATCCATTCATAAAATCACGACTTTATATCAAGAATGAGTTTAATATACTCATGTTTGAATACAAAAGACAGTTTTTTGTATAACTCGGTATTCATATGAAAGTATTTCTGTTGAAAATATGTTAAAATCTGTTTTTCGTTAATCAGCTGTCTCCCTCCTTCGAACGACAACTCTCAAAATTCGAAACTCATTCGAGCGAAGGACTAACAAGGTCTTACCTTTTAATGTGTGATTCCTAACACGGTATTGATTTCGAAAGTATTCAGTGTTTATATGAAAATAGCTGTTACTTTTTTGCATGATCTACACATCTTTGTATAGAGTTACCTTTTCAAAATTGATTGCTTTCTTCCATTCTTCATTTTTTTGTATAAAGATGGAGAAGTAGAAAGCCGAAACATCTCTTTCCTAATGAAACTTCCATTTTCCCTGTACAACTGTATANAATTTTTGAAACTGTTCTTATTTCAGTTTTGTACGAATCAAAACAAGTGTTTCTGCGAACTGGGGTGGACTGGTACCGATTGCTCAATCCAAGTAGAATTAACCCCCGCCCCTCCAATTGCCACGCCGCCTCCTGATATTTCTCCGACCAATCTCCAGGATCACATGAAAAAGAAAGAAACCCCCTACGGTACGTTCTGAATGTATTTTACTATATCTAAGTTATTAATTTAATCAGTAGTTGAAAAAATACCACATTTAACGAAAAAGTGTTGATCTGTCACCACTTATTTCAATGCTATATTGTGTTTTTTGAATATCTCTACATGAAACGATGATGGAGTAAATACATGACACTTTCATTTTTGTAATACATTCAGTACTGAAATCGCCAAACATTTTCAAAAGTGAAATTCGTTTAAAATAATGAATCAGTACTTGTTTTCTATTCCAATTTGATAGAAACATGACAAATCAAAAACTTGAAATTGCCGTTCAATGGTTATTAAATCAATAATTTACTACATCATCGTTATCCAATCAAACTAATCTATAGTACGTACACAGAGCATATTAAGTGCTACCATAGTTTTTCGGTACTCAAATATGTACACTCACATTCAAAAATATTGTGTAAAATATGTGCAGACCATAATGAGGTAGCACACAACTTCTTTCCAACTTAAAATAGACAACAGAACAACAGAAATAGACAGGAAATATGAGACATTCAAAGGGATAAGGTTGAATTGAGGGTAACATTTTTATGTTGTAAGCAGTGTTTCAAAAATCAAATTATTCAGGAACGCAAAAAGTGTGTCGTTGACTTTGGAACACACTATATATATGCACTAGTTAACCCTAGTATAAACCTTCATCATTATAGACAAAGACTCTCTACCCGTTCCGGGGAAAATCAAATAAGAAAAGACACATATTTCACACGATATCTACTTGCTAATGTCATTATCTCCAGTGGACTTTTTGTTTTTTCAACCTACACTTTGGGCCACAGTTCAAATATTTTGGTATGTTTTATTGAAAGTGTGTATAATACAATTTCAAATACGAGAAAAATATGATTTCTTGTCGAAAATTCATTTGAGTTTTGAGAACAAACTACCAGTTTTCAAGTTTGCTGAAGGCAAAATCGTGCAAATATTAATTATTCATTTATGTTTATGGATCACTCAAAAATATGTAACCATAAACTAGTACGTGGAAAAAATGTGTATATTCAGGGTGAATAAAGAGACGGTTCCTAGAAGCGAAAGAAAAATATTCAATTATTTTCTATTAAACAATTTTTAACTTGAATTGAGTGGGCGACGACTGAAAATCATAGTATTGTTTTTATTAATCGAACCTCCATTACTCCGTTACTGCAGTTTCGTCCTATACCTAAAGACATTTCCTCCAAACTTATACATTAAACTAATAATTATTGATCACATTGGCCCTCATATAACACCACTATATTTAATAATAGAGGTACTTAACTTAACTGAGTACCTACCTGAATTTTGTTTACCTGTGACAATGTGGATACGCTAATTTGAAAATTGGTGAGTAAACTAGACCGATTTGATCATTTAACAGGTTGCACCCGCAATGTTTATGCTTATGAATTTCCAAGGATTCCAAATAATTCAGTTTGCACCGCTTCCTTGCTTAATGCAAAATTTTCGTATCGTTTAGATTCGGGAACTTATGGTTGCATCACTAGCAATGGTTTGAAAACGTCGAATCATTTTTACCCAGTCTGAAGGATATTTCATGATCAGCATACCGTTTTGAGAAATTTCGACCACATTGTCCCACACAAACACTATTACATTCCGGAAACTTAAGCTCATAAACACCAGATTTCTCCAACTTGTCCACTTTATCTTTGGCATTGAAAAGGAAATCAGATAAATTGGCATATGGATGTTTTTTCTGAAGAAACCCGCAATGTTCTCTGTTCTTTTACCAAAAATGTAAGAGTTACCCATTTTTTAATTTCTGGTTGTTTGATCTGGGGGTTTATTAATCTGTAAGTTGACTGTAAGTTAAGTTAAGTCTGTATAGCTGATTTTCTGAATATATTGAACTCAAATTTATTTTGATTGTATGTAATGGTCAGGTCTAAGAAATGTATCTGTTTCTCTACCTCGGTTTTTGGTGTGAACCATATCACTTCTTTTGAAATTTTAACAGCTTTCGATGTGTGCCTAAATCAGGATTCGGGTTTACCAATAGGCTCACCCCTTAGTACACTTTCAGCAGACATATTTATGAACCGCTTGGAGACCACTATAGTGAATTCCGACCAGGTAAAAAACATTCATTTTTGGTACAGATATGTAGACGATATTCTGGCTCTTTTCAGAGGTACTACACGACAGCTGAACCAATTTATAACATTCATGAATAATCTCAATAGAAACATTCAGTTCATATTCCTATCAGAGATAAAGAAACAGAATAATTTCTTAGACCTGACCATCACACACAATCAGAATAAATTTGGGTTCAATATATTCAGAAAACATAGCTATACAGACATTACCATCCCAAGTGATTCTTCACATCCAGACAGTCATAAATTAGCAGCCTAAAAATCAATGTTGCATAGAGCATTCTCACTACCTGGATCTGCTAACAATCTAGCCAGAGAAATTAAAATAATTACACAGATAGGCCATAATAATGATTTCAAAGCAAACACAATCCAGAAGTTAGTCAGAAAATAAAGCCGTAAATTTACTTACAGATTAATGTACCCCGAGATCAAACAATCAGAAATCAAGAAATGTGTAACTAACATATTTTGGTAAAAGAACAGAGATAATTGCGGGTTTCTTCAGAAAGAACAATGTGGAAGTGGCATTCAAACCACATGCCAGGTTATCTGATTTCCTTTTCAATGCCAAAGATAAAGTGGACAAGTTGAAGAAATCTGGAGTTCAGAAGCTTAATATCCGGAGTGTAATAGTGAATATGTGGGACAATGTAGTCGAAATTTATCAGAACATTATGCAGGACACGAAAAGTCCTTCAGACTAGGTGAAAATGATTTGACATTTTCAAACCATTCCTTGGGAGGCAACCACAAGTTCTCGAATCTAGTAGATACGGAAATGTTGCACTATGCAACGAAGGATTGCAAACTCAATTATTAGGAATCCTTGGAAATTCATAAGCATAAACACTGCGGGTGCAAACCGTTGAAAGACCAAATCGATCTAGGCCACTTACTGGTTTTCAAATTAGCTTATCCACATTTTTACAGGTGAACAAAATTCAGGTACTGAATTAAGATAAGTACCTCTTTTATATAAGGACTAATGTGATCAATCATTTTTAGTTCAATGTATAAGTTTGAAAGTGTCCTTATAGGACGAAACTGCAGTAACGTTAGTTACAAATAAAAGTTGTAAAAAACATGGACAGTTTCAATTCTTATATTTCATGCTCATTTTCTAATTTACCATAATAACTTAATAATCTTTAAAAAAAACTTTCCCATTTATCTGTTGCTCTCAAACTGAGTACTTCTAAATGTACCTATATTGTGGAATTTTCGGGAATAGTAAAGAACTTTCGAAAACAACCAGTAACATTCTAGATCGGTGTTGAACAATCGTAAGAGTTGTATGGTTTGATCATACTCTATTCCCTATCCAAGAAGAGTTTCTGTTTTTGCGTGCTTTTGAAGATATAAAGGTTATAAATTTTGCATTAGAAGTTTATCTTCAGTTTTATTCAGAGTGATGTATTCTTCAGATAAATAAGAGATTGGAGTGTAACTAATGTATCTACGATTTGTATCAGACGCGTTAGTCTGGTATATCCATGAAAAACAACTTCAACGCTACTTTCATAGTTATTACGTAAGTGACTAATGTGCTGGTGATAAAGTAAATAACATAAATAGTTTTCCAATAAGAAGTCATACAAAACTGAATTATTCACAAAAATATACAAACATTCATCAAGAGACAATGCTTTACTGCTTTAGTAGAGGAGGTAAAGAATAAAAGTAAATTTATTAACATCCCGACCATTTCATAAACATGGAAAACAATTTCGTGCAATATTTTCGTAGATTACACTCAAAGTAAACAATTACCTCCCATTATGAAACCTCCTAAAAATAGGCAAAACAGTTCATTCTCGGAGAATTTACCAATGTTTATTAAAATATAAGAGAGCAATACTAAACTTCTCATTACAATACCCTTCAGCATTTCTGGTCGAGAATAATGTTACGACTCTCCAACTATACCCTGGTCTTTGTTTTCCTGTATTCATATACATTCAGTTGAAAATTCCCGTTTACGTAAGATCCATTAGGAAATACATTATTTTTGAACGTGGGTGTACTGTTTCGCAGGCGCCAACAAAAAGGGCAATCTGAGCACGCTATCCATGGTTTTCATCTTGGTAGGCGTCGTAAAGGGTGTCTTCATTTGTTTTGCCGTAGTGGCCGTTTGTTACAGGTACACATAACTAACTTAATTCAAGTGGCCGTGATCGTGGTATAAATTTGAAACGCAAGTGATGTTTGCGCATTTGATTTTGTAAATAGCTTTCGTGGAGGATTCTCGTCGAATCAATTCAACAATATATATTGAACGAGGAAGTTTCTGGCGATTCACAAATATCCTGAATTCTGCAGTCAATAGAACATTAAATTGTTGGGGGCAAACAGGATATAATATTATTTTCTCATTCAATGTAATATTGGTTCTTCTCTTTCGATGTACAACTCGTACTGTTTTGACTTGCTGTGTGTACTGTACATATTTATATTGTTAATCACATATATACACATTTTGATGAAATTTACTGACAGACCTCTGGTAAAGCTGATTTCCGGGCGTATACGGATTTTCTCTGTTTGCTAAATACATACATACTTTCCATTAATGTCCAACAAATATTGGTGTTTGCGTCTGAATGTAACATATGAAAGTACACGGGCATTTTCAATCATCAGAGGTGTTTGACGATTTTTATATTCAGTTGATTGTCACCTGTTCTTCCACATTATTCAACTGTTTTAGTTTCATGATGAAGAATATTTTGCAGTCAAATCCAAATACTTCCTTTCCAAATACTAAACTCAAATATTTCTCCATTGGAAATCCGTCAAAAACAATTAAGGCAGGTTTCAGTTTTCGATTCATTCCAAATCTGAACTCTTCTCATAAGCATATATACAAGATCAATTTATACTGTTAACTAGATATATCATTTGGGAATATAACGTTGAATGAAAGTGGATGTGCAATTTCATTTAAGAAAAATAACACATTTTTCAAAAATATTTTATCTATGGCCCTCGTGAATCAAACATCTAACTTACTATGTCTCATACGTAGGAACAATCAAAAACATTGATCTTGTGCCGATCAAAATTCAGAAAACGCTCTGGGATCAGCTGAGCTAACGATCTATCAAGTATAGGTCAATCAACTTTGAATTTTCCAATTGAACAAAAAATTAGTACATCATAAATCTCCAGAAATGCAAGTATTGGCATGCTAGGAAATGTTCAATCCACATACAAAAAATGATCAAGTAGGCGTTGAAAATGAGTCATTATATCATTATGGTCTAATATGAATGAAACCAAGGAACTGAAACTGCGTCGAGGAAAATACAAGGGCCCTTCGACTTCCTCTCACCCCCACGCGAAAGTGACAATTACTTTATGATATGGAAGTCGATTGACATATCGTTTCAAATCCCTTGAAATTTTCTTACATTAGTTTTCGAATGGAATAAAAGTTTGGTTGGGTTAGGTTAGGTTAAGATTGTTGAGTTGTTCAGGTGCTAACTCATCATTTAGTTAATCAAGTGTTCGGAATGATAACCATCCGCGTCTGTACAATAGATTGAGAAAAAATGAGTTAATCAATTCGAATCTTTACTGCTCACACCAATTCAAACTTGACCAAATGAATAATGCTTCTCAAAAAAGCGGATTACTTTATGCGGTGAGTGATGTTTCAAGACAGGTGTTAAGACTGAGATTCCGCTAAATACAAAGCAAGCAAGAAGGATGTGCTCTGCTACCAGTGGCTAAATATTCTTGTGAGGTTGACAGACCTTGGTACATCGCACTCAATCCAGTGAGAAACTGAATTGCGATCAATCTGCGAGTACCTTCGTCAGGTAGGTAAGCGATACAAGGGTATGACGTGGGAAGTGAATTCTCCTCTGACGCATTTAAGGTAGACTTCCTTCTATAGCTACAAGGTACTTACTGCACCCACCAACCAGGCAACACTCTCCTTATCGTCTTAGATAATCCGTAGGTGTGCAATCAACTACAGTCATAATGACATACTGAAAAAATTTCACTTGATTGGTAGATACTAAAATTGTCGGATGTTCAAGGTGTAAAATTCCCATCTTAATAACCTCAGCTACCTTTCCATGAGAACATCTGTGAGTCAACTATATCGAACGATACACTAGATTCAGCCATGAAGGGTATTGTTGCCTCTGCTTTAGGTGAATTATCATTGGAGCGTAAGCGTTCACTGACCTGCTCAGAAGGAGTTTGATTCCTTTCCTAATGCGGGTTATGCTTTTTTATTCAAGAATTCGGTGTAGTCATAACATAAAATATCCTGTTCATGGGGAAGCGCTAAGTTGCTTTTTGGCTGCACCGCCTAGCCTCCTAGGTTTATTAGAAGAATCAAAAGTTGGTAAATTGAGAAGCTCTTACTCTGGGCCTATATACAGTGACGTTCTCCTCTAGCATCTGAAGGTCTGATTGTTTGGTAACTTCATAGTCCATAAAGCGTTCTAAGAGTAGTTAGGGAATCAAGGATCATCACAGCAGAGCCCTATGGTGAGGCTTCCTTCACCGAGAGGGTATTCGATATCTCGAAACTCCCTTAGTAACGCTGAACGGGATCAAAGTCATAACATCCTTTTGCAAATACAGGTACGAACCTCAGGACGAGGCGTCATCAATGAAGACTCCTACCTCCACAAGTGATTCGATATCTAGCTGAGGTTTTCTAAGGCCCCGCGTTAGAAATTGACGAAATTCGTCCATAGATTTTTCACTCCAGGCGATACACGGGCTCATTGCGTTTTTTTTTACATTTTTTCAGTGGTATTCATTCCAACGATCTTTTTGACGATCTACATTGTCTCCCCAAATGCAGCCTGATTGTTTTCAAAAATATTGATCTACCCATTTTGTTGAGGCCTCAAATCAATGTTCTTTGCGCATTGCAAGATTTCATAAACTTCAGCCTGAAAGACTGATATGTACCGACCGAGCAGGTAACTGAAAGGTTTGTTTGGTTTTCGAATTGTCTATATTGTATTGTCAGTATTGTTCGCCAGCAGTTAGACCAACTTTCTTCACAGCACTGGATTTGGAGGAGAGGCAACATTGAATGATTTTCAGGGTCACCAGATTTGTCGGCATTATTTTGTTTGTATAGACACCTTGGAAGTAAAAATGTATTGATAACAACTAGTGTCTTCAGAAAATTTGCATCATACAATTGTCGACGAATTTCGTCGTATGATCCAAGAACTGCGAGAATATTTCTTTATTATTGTATCTACGCCGATGATCATCACTCTGAATATTGCATCAAATGAGTAGTAAGTAAGCACCTTTACAAATTAAAATTTTGAATTTTTTTCTCTCAGGTGTAATTTTAAAATGATTTTAAGAGGTTTTCAATGGTCCAAAACTATTCCTTTCAGATCACTTTCAATCAAAAATCGGTGGTTTCTTGTATTTTCCTCAACTCTTGATACAGTTTTCAATGACATCTGTTTTTTTGTTTCCGTTTGACTTCCCTACTATCACGTTAAAGCTAATATTTCTACAGCAAATATAGTTATTAATGTAATGGCTGGCTTGACACCAAAGCTCTTTTATGGATATCAAGGGATCCATTTATATCACTGCTATTAATACACGATATTGAACTCAGATTATGACAAGTGATGAAAACCAAACAAAGATATTTCTGACTTTCGCATCAAAACCGGCTGGTATTGTCACATTCTAAGGATAATATCGTTTAATAATATCAGTAACATAAGAATGTTGAAATTCGAGCCCGCGTTGTTGTCAAAATTTAAGCAGCTTCGCCATGAATATTTAACTCCATTAGTTTGCCGAGAATGTCAGTTATTGTATTTCTTGCAAACTCTCATGATGTACTACTTTTTAGAAAGAAACATTTACTGTGACCAGATTCGTGAAGAATATGGGTTTTTCAGTTCGAGTGATTTTCCATTTCGTGCAGCATCTAATATTTTGAGGTCAAGAGAAAGAACAATCCAACCCCAATACAAATCTTTCATTAAAAGTTTTTTGAGAATATTTTTTCAAATAGGCACAAACATAATCAGTTTGATATAAACTGAATGTCTTTTTTACTCAAGTAGGAAATCGGCACCTTTCATTTTATTATTTTGTTGATTTTGATTTCCTTTCCAGAAGTATTTATGAATTTGGAACAGTAAATGTATTTGTTCAATAGACATTATGTAGGTTTTTTGCTAGGATGATCAAACTGAAGAGAGTCTTAATTGTAATTCAGGATACTTTGGTTCGGTTTCAATGCAAAAATTAGAAATCTTATGGTAGTATCCTGTAACTTCAATTCATAATATGTAAAACTTTCCTAATTAAATTTCTCGATTCAAAAAGTGTTCAATTATGGTTCCTACTAAGGCTTGATAGCTTACTTGTAAACCACGTTCCGAGCAAGTTTGTCATCTATGTAATGGAACGATTATCCTTTTCCCAAGTAAACCATATTATCAATGCAAAAAATATATATTTACATAAACACAACTTAGGGAGTTGCCGTTTTCCAATTTTTTCTGTAGAGTTAATATATCTGAGAATCCGTTTTTTGTATTCCATATTAACAAAAACTTACGTCTACCGCCCCATTAACCGAATAGAAATTCATCACTTTTGCAGATAGTGGCAATGGAAATATTTTCCATTGTCCTGTTCATTTTTTGTACAGCATTTAGTTATGAAAGACGTTCAAAATTAGTATCACTACCTACTGCTGACAGCATAAGGCTAAAACTCAGTTTTAACTCCAAAACGTGAAATTTATATAGGTACATTGCAAGGATATCTAATGATCCTCTAAAAACTCAGCATGGGCTTGCGGTTTAGAAGACATAATTTCCATTTCGATCATTTATTTGGATTGAAACTGTCACTGAAGTGATTTTTCCAGGACAAAGATAAGATACAAGGTTGCTCATTCAACAAATTCGCAAAGAAATCCAATATAGGGGTTAGAAAACAACTGTTCAGTAAGGTTTCTTTCCAGTAAAATAGTCATATCTAATAGTGAGAATTATTGGTACTGGAAATATGTTGGTGAAACGGAAAGTTTTTCAAAGAAGTTGAATCTCTGCCTTCTGACTTTAAGAAACTGTTGCCTGAAGAAATTTAACTTTTTCGTTAGGCTCAGCATGATGGGCTTCAAGTGAATCATAATTAATTACAAGAGCAATACGACCCAACGTATGTATCGTATTGCAATGTATGGGTGGTATTGCTATTAGTTTCAACTTCTTTGCAACCTACAGTTTGAAGTGAACAAATGACAATCTGGAGATAACAAAACAATTGTAAGGTAAGAGATCAAATTCATAATTATTAATTAGGTACACGAATATCAGTTTTGAAAAACATAACGACTATTTTATATGCATTATTCTGTCTATTTCAATATTTCATATATTTTATATATTGAACCAAACCTGTTATCGATCTATATTATGTTTGAAGTAGGTATTTGAAGGTGTTTCTGAATAAATGAAAATAAAATTACAGGGGAGTCACGGTCACATAATATTTATCGTAATATTAAGTGAAAATATGGAAAAAAAAAGGTGGTCAGTTTGATAATCCTATGCAGTATCGAACAGTACTGTTGATAGACCTATAAACCGTCACATGACGTAGAGCAACTGTCTTATTGGTGCTTTCTTTCTCTCTCTGTGTCTGTCTCCGCCTGTGTATTCATGCATGCGTACGATGGCTGCCTGCGTCATCGTACCTGATGGACGGTACCAACTCTTCTTCCTCTCTTCGGACGATCACCACGAGCAGAGGACTATCATGGTTCGAACACGATTTTTCTCGTGGGCACTCTCATGTCGGTGGTAGGGGGTGTGTTCGTTGTATTCGCAACTATGGCCCTTTGCTACAGGTCAGTCGTAGTACACAAAAACTTCTCGCTCTGTCTAAGGTTAGTGAGCAGGCCATACCAGGTAGAAGATCCACGTTTTTTTTTTCTCAGCATCCTCCTTAACGTTTACACTCGTTGATTTATCGAGAACGCTTGTTCATTCAGTTCCGCTGTGCTGGATACAGACTGAATACGTAAAAGTTGAAATTTTCACATATGGTATAGGGTTTGCATGGATGGATATCTTGTGGTTTGATAATTGACAAGTATTAGTAGAACAAATAACTAAGAAATCATAGTTTCCACATGACAATTATCAGACTAATTGAGTTTCAAAAACCTTCATCAAAATGTATCTGGACTAATCCTTTTATTTCACAGTACCATCAAATCATCGAACATGCTTTCGTTATTCTCTTTAAGTGAATGAAAGTATTTTTGATGGTTCAGAAACTGAGTGGAGTGTAATTTTCAATTTTCACGAATTCATCCTGTATGAAACCACTATTGTATTCTTCTGAATTTTTCATTTGCCTTAAAGCTGTCTAGATGTCTGTAGCTCTATTAACTCTATTAAAGGTGGACGAGTTCAAAATTTTTTGACAGTGAGGTTGTGACATGAATGTTGAACATAAAATATTCTCCGTCAGTGTGATTTGAACTACTTAAAGGAATATTTCATACAAAATCAAATAACATAAAGAGATGAATACAAAAATGTTTGAATAATTTCATTAATATCAGTCAAATGAAATTATTCTACATACTATTAACAGATAATCAATTTGTAGAAATACTACTCCTGATAAGAGCAAATGAGTTGGAATCAATGATTATAACTTAGATCAAACAATTATTGTAACTGTGAAAATAAATTTGAAAGTTATTGGAAAAATGTTGTTTAAAAAAAAGACTTGATTATGATTATTTCATTCATTTCGTACTGAGCATGAGTTCTCAAACTTCTAATAAAATTAAATTAAATTATTCACTTGATGGAAAGTTTTACATGAGTTCTTTGATCGTGGGGACACAAGAAAAAATCTTGTTCTATAGCAACTTGATAACTAATTCAGACAGTAGTAGGAGGGCGGAAGACTCGAAATAATAGAATAATTCATTGAACAAATATTATTTAATAAATATGAATTTTCACTGACTGACTCATTTTGATTCATGTAGAGTCTCAGAAATGGGTTACATAATAAATAATATAAATGAAGGACACATTAAAAATCAGATATCGCAAATAATAATGCAGTTGAAGCTGTCAACATTATTCTGTCTCCAATAGAAAGTAGTCTGACATACTCAATACCCATTTTAATGAATGATAAACCAAATGTTCATGATCATTCTTGAGGTTATGATTCGAACATGATGAAAATTATGAATCTGACCTTATTTCACCATTTAAACGGTTTTCAAACCCACCAAGAAGGTACAACTGAGTCTCAGGCCGTTTAAAGACAAGAGAGACCCACTATTAGCAGTAGTATATCACATACCGTGCACTTGTGGGAAGGTATACATCGGAACCACCACAAAAGATCTATAGGAACAAGGCTGAAGGAGCAACGAAGAAACTGCAGACTAGGCCAAAGGGACTAGTCGGCTATGGCAGAGCACGCACTCAGTAGAGGAAACTACAGGATTATGTTTGAAAACATGGAACTCATTGGCCCCAACCAAGGATACCATAGCCGACTGGTATACGGGAGTCAATAGAGATCCACAAACACATAGATATTTCCAACAGAAAAAAAAGTGTGAATCTCTACCGAATTTGGAATCGCATTCTAAGAAGTTCAAGAATAGCAAACATCATGACGGCGGATAGACAGGGTTAACGAATGTTATTGACAATTTACCTAATCCAGGTATTAAGCACACCAAACTACCTGAGTCAACATAAGAATGCGTTACGCAGCCGTAATATCCAGTCGTCGAAGATAGGTTGGGTTAGGTTAGGTCATAAGTCAGTGGGCCTATACGACTCCCCGCCGCAACCCGCAAGGGTTTATTGTGGCTCACACCTATTCAAACTCAACCAAACAAACCCAGCTTCTTAACGAAGCCGATTAGTTCATATGGTGGGTGATTTTCAGGTCAGATGGTAGAAGTGTGGTTCAACCAAACTCTGAAAACCTGATTCCTTCCGCAGCGAGACAGGCACAAACTGTATGCTCTGCTGTTTCATTATTCTCCAAACAGAGGCGACACACACTGTCTTCCGACAGTCCGAGTCATATGATGATTCAGACGACAATGACCTGTAAGGATGCCTGTTAGACATCGTAGTTCAACTGTAGTCCAACAACTGTTTGGTTTCAAGCTTCGAAGGGTGAATGAACGCCTTGGAGTGACCTAATCCTGGAAGATTTTGCCAGAAGTCTTTGAATCTTCTTGCCGTCCTAGTGTTCAATGTTTGTTTGGCAAAACCTCAAGCAAGGCCAATGACACGTTCTGGTCCGATGAAGCTACTTGCAGCACCCTCCTTTACAAGGTAGTCAGCAGCCTCATTGCCTTCCAGGCCAGTGTGGCCAGGAATCCAGACCAGAGACAATATGTTGAGTCTTCCTATCGAGGAGATTGGTTTTTGGCAATTTACTACCAATTTAGACGTTTCTCGATAGGAGCCAATAGCTTCCAACGGCGCTTGACTGTCCAAAAAATTTTTTATTGATTTATGTGTGAGGTTGGACCAGAGCCTGAATGTGTTTTTGATCCATCTGTGAACCAACAACTATCTGCTCTTAAATTTCCCTTCTCCCTGGGGATCCAATACTCTCAACCCGGAAAGATGCTGTATAAGACAATTCGTAGTTGACAGTTGCAGGCATAATATCAGAGGTCATTCCCAGAATGCAGTTACTTCCAGTGTCAGCCAGCAGTTTAGTCTACTCTGCATCGGAGATAACTCAATGTATAAACCTCTGAAAAAGCTAGCCACTCGCGCCAGTGAAACGTCAGGAAGAAATTCTAAAATCGATGGTTTCCAAACCTGAAGAATAGTGACACTGTTCATGTTTATTACCTGTTCTTCTGAAGATTTGACCTGACTATCGCAAAACTCCAGATGTAACTGTTCAGTTGAATGGACAGTAAGTTCTTAAGTGAGTTATATTTTCACTGCTCAGTTTATGAAATCGCACTACGTGTTTCACGATACGAATAGATATCATAGCTTTTTCAGGCGTGTTCTATAGTTATTTTTATTGAACATGTAGAACATTTGTTGAAGTTTTGTATACCAGATTGAAGCGACGGAGACAAATGAATGTACAATGAAAAATGCTCAACTCATATTGGTATGGTATGAAAAGAAAAACCATTCAATTGTTAACCTAAACAATCTAAAAAGTTTCAAATAGAAATGTTATGTAGTATTTTGATCTACCCTCGTAACGATGAAATCTTCAGTTAAAAAGAAGCCTGTGACAACCTCATCATCAGAAAATACTGAACTCGGTGGAGCATTTTAAGATTTATCAGTGCTACTAATTGGACATGAAATCTGTTATATAGTGATAATTAGTGATCTGAATTCAATGTAATATCGACGAACTTGAGAAGAGGATACTTCAGCTATGTTGTGAGATGTCCAATTAAGCTACAGCTGGAATTGTCGAATTTTTATTCAGTCAAGGCAGAGCGTTATCAATAATTTCATTCGAAAATTCACGTGTTATTATTTTTCAACAACGGTAATCGTGAAAATGCTCCTCACAGGACATCTATGTCGTTTAACCACCAACACACTTTATGTACAGATTGACAAAGAGATGCAGGATGCTGCATTTGGGATTTACAATGGCCTCCGTGTCGGGTTTGAAGCATAATTTGAGATTATTTTGTCCCTTGCACTCCCTTTATAGATTGGGTAGTTAAATTTCTGAATACGAACTCAGACGTGATATTATTTTCCTTTTAAATGAGAAAAAAATAATTGAAAATATTTCTGTATTCAGTGTTAGTAATAATCAGTATACTTGTGATGCACTGTTTGGAACCTTTGGTGTAGTAGTAAATATTACTGGAGTTTAATCCTAACATCAAACCGTTATTTTTAATACCGCGACACGTGTTTCAATCACCAAGTGATCATCTTGAAGAGGAAGATTAAACTCAGTTCAAACAGTTTAATCTTTCTCTTGAAAAATATCATTTGGTGACTGAAACACGTGTCGAGGTGTTAAAAATAACGGTTTAGACTCAGTTTAAACTCAGTTCAAACAGTTTAATCTTCCTCTTGAAGACGATCACTTGGTGATTGAAACAAGTGTCGAGGTATTATAAATAACGGTTTGGTGTTAAAATTTAACTCCAGTAATATTCGTACTATTTTACATTGAGGTCTCGTTAAATATTATACAGAGTCAATTAAATGCAGAAAGAGCCAAAATATTTATATGGTTCGCTTCAGAAATCATATTTCTCGAAATAGCCCAAAAAGTATTCGAGTATTTTGTTGCATTCAATGAAATTTGGAACATTTTTGCATTACCTTTTCAATGGTTGGACTTTTGAGGATCCTTATTGAAACAATTTTTGCCAATGAGGTCGTTCATTAGATCATGTGAATACGATAATGTATTACGAAGGTAAATTCGAGAAAATATCGTTTATTTCGAACCCACTTTAGTAATTGCTACTTTTTCGAACACTTCCGGTGGTTTATATTCAACCAACTAAATTTCAATGTAGGTACTTTTCAATAAATCTTCATATTCGGAACAACATTTCATAAAACTCCGATTACTTTTGGAAACCTAATTTATATTCTATTTTAAATCAAAAAGAATAAAAATGATGTTTCCATTCATCGAATCCGAATTGTAAGTATTGAAATCAAAATCAAATCCTTTCAAAAAAATTATCTGATGCAGAGTCCGAATATTTCAATTCAAATTGCTGTACAATACATAGTGAAAAGATCAATTTTTTCGAGATTGTATAGAAAACTGAAGAATTCAAGAAAATGTTCTCAGAATCAATCAATTCGTGGATGTACCATAACCACTAATTATGATTTATGTTTCGAGGATTTCTAAAAAAAAATAAGGCTCACGACTACAAATTTTTTTAAGATTCAAAGGTGGCACGAGTAGATGGGTTTTACTAGAACTCAAGAAGACAATGGGATGTTTGTAAAATAGTGTTGAAGACTTAACTTATTTTTCAATAGCAAAAATTAACATTAACAGAGAACTCGTTCGCCAAAAAGATATTCATTGAATATCTGCATATTTACAAGATTCTAACAAACGAGAGGAAAAACTATCCAAACATCATACTGAAAGCGAATGAATGAGATAATGCTCTAAATTTCATAAAATACAACAAAATACCTTTTTTAGTTATTCTGAAAACTGTGGTACTTGAAACCAATAATCAAACATAACTCTTTAAGTTGTTTCACAGATTTTGGTTACCATATAATGAATGGAGTTTCTTCATAAAGCTGAATATCTTTTTTCTTTATTTAGTCAGATATCTAGACCTCATAGTTTCGAAGATCTCCAAGCAAAGCAAAGCAAACGTGGCCACCCAGTAAAATATTTTTGAAGTCATTATTAATATTGAAGCTCTTTCCTTTGTTCGGATACCTCTTGAAAGAAAAGAATTTCCATAATCAAATCAATGAACTTTTTGTTAAATTGCCCAACTCAGAACTTTTTATTGAAGTTTAATTTCGTCTTCAAGTAAAATACTTTCAAAAATGATTTAATAGCCATTATTGTGTCTTTTGATGTCATACGTTTTTCCTTCTGATACAATCTTTGGATCTATAGCCGTTTGAGAATAATGTCTCAATCTGAAAATAATTTGATTGGGTGCATTTTCATTTCATCTTCATTAAATATTTTCCTTCGCTCCTCTTGGAAAACAGTGATACATCTAACAGAAAAACGCATCCACTTATAGTTACTAATTTGCAGTAAATTCTCGATAAAGTTTGTTTGTCCTTTGAAAAGAAGAACGAGATTGAAAAAGTTCAATAATAGCCCTACTCTAAGTTTGAAATTGGTTGGTGGAAATTAAATCGTAACATGAACTAATTGGATTTTAGATTTGAGTTCGTATTTCATTATGGAGTCGATAATTAGTTATTAGACATCGCGTCCCTATGGAGCTGATAAATTGCCCTTGTTGATCAATTCGAATAAGGTCGGTCCCAGCAGAGTTATAGCGGAAAGCGAGTATGTAGTCGCCTACATTTTTCATTCTCACACGGCAAAGTACCATACTTTTTGTATGGTACTATGTATTATGCGATTCAAGAAGTTATATTTCATTTGATATTAGCTGTCTTTTCGTTAAAAAAGTTATTATGAAAAATGTCAATAATTATCATATATATTGTATGGAGGTTAATAAAGAGTAACAGATCAGAAATCATTCACCAAAATATCATGATCATGTTCCAAGAAATAATAG